GTAACGAGGCATGGTGAAGTAATGTTTGGCCTGTTTTAGTGATGTGTTGATGTTTTCTCTCGACAAACCCATTTTGTTCTAAGGTTTTTGGACAAGAGTTGTGGTGGGTTATCCCATTGTCATACAACTATGTAGTAAGGCCAAAGGTAGCATAAACACTTAAAGACACAAAGCATCTCATAATTAGGTAATTCGTGGAACGGGATTTCAAATGGGCTTTTTATGTGCTAATCATGGTGTGGGTAAATGATTAATATAATAAAATATTACAGCAAAGGCGTGTTCCTAAAATTTGAGTGGTAGCGAGGCATGGTGAAGTAATGTTTGACTGTTTTAGTGATGTGTTTTCTCTCGGCAAACTCATTTTGTTCTAGGGTTTTTGGACAAGAGTTGTGGTGGGTTATCCCATTGTCATACAAGTATGTAGTAAGACTTTGAAATTCCCTCCCCGATCGACTTGCTTTATTGATCACTTCAAATTTTTTTCAACAATATAGCAAAATTTGATAAAGTAATTTATAACCTTAGATTTATATTTAACAAAATAGACCCAAGAGTATTTGCTAAAATGATAATAGAATAAAAGATAATAATGATTTTTATAAAGAGATGGAACAAGAGATAAGCCTCATAAATTGGAGCATACTAAATTTAATAGACCGGACGTTTAAAAGAAATGGTAACTTATGAATTTCCCGACACTAAAAGCATGACAAAGATATGTAGAATCTCGATCGGATATATTGATTCTAGACCGATGAAGTGCTTGATGCAATATTTTGATGGACACATGACCAAGACGAGCATGCTAAGTAGACAAGGAACTCAAAAGAGCTTATGGTGAGTTACTCGAAAAAAATGACTCATTGGCATCGAATAAAGCCCATCGTTAAGCTTTCTAATGTGAAAAATCTACTTTGAATGGATATCCTTGACAAAAAAAATAAGTAGGAAAGATTTTAAGAGAAACTTTATTAGATTTGGTAGGGGCACTAACTTATGGTAAATTATTACAAGTACGTGGAACAAGGAAAATATTATCAAGTGAAAATTATGTATTATTGATGGAAAAAACGGATGAGATAGTGTAACAATAGGAAGAGTTGCATCATTGCTAATTGTTACTTTTTAAGGACCATTGTACTCAAAATGGATGCCTAGGTTGTCCATATCTCGCTATTAAATGATGTGTTGCTCCGGTGTCGACAACTCAAGATTGTAGTATTTTAGGGTTAGATTGTTTTGATGCCAAATTGGACTCATGTGTTTGGGGAGTGAGTGATGGGACGTCTATCATGGTGCTTGTCTTGAGGGACACTATTCAATATAATGTCCAATGCCACTAGCAATTAGTGCATATTTGCTAGGTAGTACTGCGGTAATTAGTGGCATGTGAAGTAGGAGAAAGAAAAGTAAAATGTGATCTTTCATATCCATTACCTTTTACACTACAAGAATAATCAAACGAAAGAAACGATCAATTAAGCCTCATTCCTTACGAGTTCAACCCTTACTTGTCCTAATTACACTATTGTGGTTAAAATTCGGTGAGGACATTATAAATTACTAATTTGTTAGTGGTATGACACGCCACCACCCTTTCTTTCTTTCAATTACAAGTTTCGGGTTTTAATTTTTTTCAATTACACCCTTAATCGGGTTTTCTTTGGTCCCCGCACTTCGTATTTTTTTATTGAACCCCCAAATCGTTTTTTTTTATAAATAATTCTCTTTTTCATCTCCCTCTCTCTCTCCCTCTTTGTATTTTCTTTTATCTTACAAATTTAAAAAATTAATTGGGGTAAACATTAGGTGGTAACATTATCGATGGAAATTGAGATATGTTTAATTGTTAACTTATTGAAAATCAATGATATATTTTTTGGGTAAATACATCCATTTATCCTTATATAATACTCAAATTTTTCATATGTGTTTAGATTTCTAATTCCATCTCATTTGTTCGTAAAAGTGTTTGAAATATTCAATATGTCGTTCCGATCAATTTTTTTCGTCAAACAATTTTTTTGACTAAAATATCTCTAATAAAAAAAAAAAAAAACTAATTACTTTTACTTCAAAAATAGAATATGTATGTCACGTGGTTTTAAGTGTTTTTATTTTATTCTTTTATTTTTATTTTTTTTTGCATTTTAGTAAAGCACATTTTGATAAAAAAAAAATCATAGTTAAAATTTTTTATCGGAATGACAAATTCACCATTTTAAAATTTTAAAAGGATATTTAAGATGCAATTGAAAATTTAAGGATAGATGAAAGACTTTGAGTATTATATAAGTATAAGTAGATATAAATACCCATATCTAAAAAAAAAAAAATGTGTTAAGTTGATGTGAAGGGTGTGTTCTTAAAATTATTCAAAAAAGAAAAATTTAGTTTTGATTGACACGAAGTTAGCTTGAGAATACTCTTATTGTTCAACCAAAACTTAAAAAAAAAAAAAAAAAAAAAACATGAATGTCAATGATACTTGATATAAGTGTTCCGCTTTGTTTTTTTTTTTAAAAAAAAAAGCTAAATAGGTAAAATCTCTTTTAAATTGTATTCTATGTGAAAATCAATTTCTTAATTCTAATTTCGAATTTGACACACACACACACATATATATATATAGTCCACCTTTTAGCTTTCTTTCTTTTTTTTTTCTTTGAAAAAATAACGGTCACATAAACATCTTCATGATGGAAATCATTTAGTAATATTTATCTAAAGCTTTCTATAAAAATTTAGGATCATTTCGAGCTATTTTCTATATTTTTAGTGTCCAAAAAATAAACAAATATATTTTCTAATTTTGAAAAATATTCGGTAAGATTTATCCGAAGTTTTCTATAAAAATTTGGAATTATTTCGAGTTATTTTCTATTTTCTATATTTTTATTGTTCAAAAAATAAACAAACATACTTTCTAATCTTGAAAAATTCTGGAATGTTTTTTACAAAATGGATTGAATTTTTTCTAACGTTTGTACAAAACTTCAACTCAAAATACCAAAAATTAATTTTTTTAAAAGGGTGAATGAATTATGAAAATCATAAGATGGATTAAATTTAAAAAAAAAATTAAGAAAGTTAAATCCAAAATTTAAAATTCAAAAACTGATTTTTAAATAACCTAAAGTTCAAAAAAGGTTTTGCCTGTTAGTCTTAAAAAAAAAAAAAAAAATTGTTACTTGTCTACAAGATGTGTGACTATTGTACAATTGGTTGGTTTTATTGTAAATTTGAGTAAACCTAGAGAAGTTAGTATGGTGTTTAAAGAGGTTTGTTTCATTTTTTTTATTTTTTTAATTAATTAATTTTTCTGAATTTACTAGGTTGGTATGCATACTGCACTATTAAACTTGCTTGAATTTTTTTTAACCTCAATTGACGCGTAAAAAAAAAAAAAAAGCTGAAAAATACCATAATCGTCAAGTAAAAATAAAATAAAATTGTAGACTTAAGTTGGTGGGGTCCATTGAGGAGGAAAGCGCATGCATATCCTTCATTATAGTTCTTCATTAATAGAATTCTCCCTATTTTATCCAAAAAAAAAAAAAAAAGGGATGGCCAGGGCCTGGAGTGCAGAGGCGGGTGCAGGATGCTACCTAAAATTCCAAGACAAAAATGGAGGTAATTAATTATACAAGAGAGTATTGGAAGAACCATTAGAAGAGTATGGTTCAAAACCCAACGTGGAAACGACCACCTCAACATTGACTTTTTATAGCTTTGTACATTTCCAGTATAAACTCTGCCTTCCAACAGCAACTTTTCTTCAATAACAGACATAACTTTCTTACACATAACCACAAGATTGCTACAATGTCAACATCAACAAATACCAACATTATTAAATAATTAAATTTAAATTTAATAATAATTTTATCTTTTTATAATTTATTCAAATCCAATGAAATAATATGCATTCCATTACACTAATTGCATTTACTCTATACTTCAAGAGCCCAACAAACTGGAGGAAACGAAATAGATATAGAGATGAAATTTCAAGAGAGAGAGAGAGAGAGGCTCTTTGAAAGCCTGGAATAATAAAAGTCGATCTAGTAGTGTTACTGCTATTGATACGTGAAAAGTACAATGTGCTTTTCACGTTACTCATAATATATTGTAATAGTATGACCTCTTTTCCATCTTTTCTGCAGGCGTAGTGTACTACCTCAGAGCAAAGCCGAGGAATCCGGAATTTATTTCCAACCAGGTAGCCATTGAAATGGCCCCATTTCTGCTCCTGCTTACTCATTTCTCCTTCCAACACCTGGCTTACAATTACACTGCTAACTCACATTTCATCTCACTAGTAATTGATTTCAATATTCCGGTTTTTTTTTCCCTGTCATTCATAAACTCGTGATTTTGTTATAAAATTAAAATATCACTTGATACAAGTTGGTTTGAATTGTGGTCTACTACACACAACATCTATATTTATACTCTACCAGAAATTCCCAGAAAATATTCTGTAACTTATGATGATCTTTAAGGCATTCAATCAAAAAGGGTGGAAAAAAAAGTGCAAAATATCAACATCAGCTTACTAAAAAGGCACTGGGCACCTTAAATTCCGTAAAGAAAAGGAGGGTAGAACCATGAATCTTTTGCGCTGGTCTTACCTTTTCACTACCCTAGATTCACGCATAGGAGGAAGGTGTCTAACCAATTCTATCCAAGCTAAGTAACCAGTTCTAGCAAAGTAATCATCCTAGTCAATGCCATACCAAGTGGAGTTTTTACTAATTTGGGTAATTGAACCAGCTGGAAAATGAAAGCAGATGAAATGGAAGGGAATAGCTTGCTACGGTACAAGAGGAACATAGCTTGTGCATGCATTATATACTTTGGCATGCATATTGATTAAGCTATATACATTCATACATGAAACTGTTGTTTTACTATTCCATGAAGCATCCGCAATACAGAATTAAAATCTAACTTCCTGGAGTTCCGCAGGAAAAGAGTCTTTCATTCTCTTGTTTTCAATCTCCGGTGGCTATGTAAGCACCTTCATGATGAGGAAAACAATGAGATACACTCATGCCATCAATGCCAGAACTCTTTAGTTCAATAAGCTTTACAAGACAGATGAATGCGGGATCTAACGATCCTAGTATGTAATTGAAGTTGACACATGAATGTGATTAGCACTTTTTGACTTTTTGCTTGTTTGCCTACCCATTTCTTTCCTCTGTACAAGAAAAGATTCTGGATGATGGCTGTACTAGACCATTCAGCTCCTACAGTAGAATTGGGGGATGTTGCTGGGGTTGGTAATTGAAGGAGAAAAACGATGGTGGAGGACTGTTGAACTTGGAAAGTGAAGTTGACCAGCAGCTGCTGAAGGTGCCATAATTGCTGAAGAAGCGAATCCTGATGATGCTGCAGTAGAGAAGAGAGGCAGTGGATTTGCTCCGCCACCATAAGGGCCTTGGATTTGCCTGGTCCAATTTGGAAACGAGTCTACTTCCATTCTCTTATCTATAGCTCTTTCCTGCAAACATCATTCACAAAGACACCGTAAATTATCAAAACAGTGAAAATTCTCCTTTTGATTTGCTATTGGGAGAAAAAGAATTCATCAATTTTTCAATGCCAGCATTTTAAGGGTTAAAATGCAAATTTCTACAACATCAAGTTGGTATTATTCTGAACACTAGAGGAGCATGCAAAGCTTTTCAGGGAAAAATGAAGAACTGACATAAATTCACACTTTCATGTTATAATTTTAAGAAGGATGAATGTGTCCTACAAGGTCAATTGACATGATACAGTATCTGTACCAACTACAAGAATGGAGCTCAAGATGGTACTATTATCTTTTTGTGTGGGTGTGGGTGTGGGGTGTTTGCATGCATTTATGTCATTATGTGCCCTCTATAAAGAACTTGGAAAAACTAAAGGCGTTACACGAAATAAAACTAGATTAGTGACATTACCTCAAAAGTTGGAAAGATTCGATGATTCACACCATCCCACATGGGGGTGTGTACAGATGTCATTCCAGGGCCATTAGGTAGTTGATTTTTCATTGTTGGGGAAGCAGAGTTCAGAATCTGCCGAAGGACAATTTCTTTAAAGTATTAAAATAAAAAACCTTTGCCAAAATCGTCAACTCATCAAGTGAGTTGTACATAGAAAATCAAGAAAGCTTTCTGGAATAAACACACGCTACTTTGGCCTGAGAAAAATCAACATTCATTTCAATGTTACCTTTGGTACCCTATCAATAGACATGCCATCCCAGCCACTCTGGAAATAAGAGCCACCCATGTTGCTGTTTACCTTTAGGCCATCAGATGTATCAGGAGGAGCAATTCCTAAATTCAGGTCAAGATTTTGGTTGCCGTCTGTATGAAAAGTAATTGTTTGTCGATTGGCACATTAAAAGACCACTTTGCAAATTGAGCATTTTCCTCTACAAAGATTATATATATATAAAGAGAGAAGAAAAGAAAAGAAAGAAGTAAGATTCTAGCAACGAAAAGTACCTCCACTGTTAGGCTCTGAAAGTATCTCCCCTTCATACGTGCTTGGCTCAAAGTTGGTAACTGCTTCCCTTCCATTGCATTTAATGGCAGCCTTGTCATAAGCCCTGGTTACCAGAGAAAACGAACATCTCAAGTAAATTGAAACAGATTTGGTTGAGAGTCGAAGTCGAACTAAGACATTTAGTTTAAGAAAGATCCAATTCATGATCATTAGGACCTTGCAGCTTCTATCTCGCTATCGAATAGCCCAAGATAAATGTACCTGCAGGCAAGCAATGAATACTGCCCAATAAAAAACCAAGTTCCCAACTCTGACCACAAGCCTAAACATTTCGAGTTCTTAGTTCATTTCTCACTTCAATTTAAGAACATATGCATGAGCAAGCATTTTATGCAAATTACGAGTTCAGTGCATTATGAATAGTAACAGTAACTATCAGAACTCTGAAAGAAATCAGCTGGATACGTGTAAAGCGAAAGAGTTTCTTACTTCTTCCCCAGGAACTGCCCCATACGAGCCTCCCATCTCCCACATTTGTGCAGCGTCACTCCTCTATATTTTGAGCTGCCCCTAGAGAATCCAGTACTCTGACGACGTAGGATGTGCACAAATTCTTCCTTTGTGAAATTACTCATCTACATGCCAAATAAAAACTCAACTAAAAACTAATCGCTCGAGTCAAAAACCAAAACATTTAGAATCCAATAAGTACACCTGCAACAACCTCACCTGCTTAATATCCTCATCATAATCAGTAACATTAAAGTTGATATCAGCATCAACTCCACGGAACTTGATCGCAGCTCGATCATATGCCCTGAAATCAAAAGCCCAAAATTCGAACCAAAAACACAAAATCCTCAATAATCTACCTAATTACACTACGATTCACAATCTAATCTCATTATTATCATTATTACCTAGCTGCAGCATGTGCAGTATCAAATCCCCCTACAAGAAACCAAACACCCAGATTTCACAAAACAAATACCAAATTAGCAAGCAATATTTGTACCCCACAGCACCAACACATCAAAATTAATTCAAAAACTAAAATAAAATAATCTTATCTGAAAATTACCCAAGTAAACTTGCTTTCCACAATCCCTGTAAAACAACACAAGAAACACAAACCCAAATCACATTCAAAATTCCGAAAATATATTAACCACTCAATAAAAACGAATAAAATTAAAGTAACCAGACTTAATTAAACAACTAATTAATTGAAACAAATTTAAACAACTAACCAAATATGAGATTCCCATCTTCCAGTTCTCCGATAAAAAGTGACTCCTCTATACTGCGAGCTTCTCGACCTGGGCCCACGCCTACTCTTCTTCACTGGCTTTTGTTGAGGCACGATCCCCTGCTCCGGAGGAGCACCATAATCCCTGGAGCCACCGAGATCCAACAACTGCATCTGCCACGTCGAAGATGACTGAGACTCTACTCCTACATTCTTGGTCCCACACTCGACTGGAAAAAGCTGGATCGTTCGATCTCCACTGTCATCAGCATCATTCTCATTAGTATTAGTATTATTATTATTATCATTACAATTAACGTTGTTCTTGATGCTGCTTTCATTTGACAAGATACTGAAATTGTAAGCAAAAACGTCGCCGTTGGAGCAAGAGTCCTCATCACCACAGCCATCAGCATTGACTATAGAAGAAGAATCGAAGCTCCCAGCAGAGCTTTCCATGGGAGAGTTGGAAAGTTCCAGAATCTTCTTCTGCTTCTTATTCTTCCCTGTCGTTGACGAATCACCAGAAACCGCACTCAAATTAAGATCCAGCATCATTGACTCCCTTTCAACTCCAATTCGACGCCGTTTAGTAGAGAGTACAAGTGCCAAAACTAGAAATAAAAGAAAAAATTATTTGAGGAACATGGAAAGTGACAGAGTGACCGACAGTGTGAGTAAATAGAGTACAGAGAGAGAGAGGGAGGGAGAGGGAGAAGAGGAGGGTGATGGAGGGGTGTGTTTTCTTTTCTTTTCTTTTTTTTCGCCCTTTTCTTTTTGCCTGCTAAGAGGTGGTTTTCATGTGTTTTTTGAGGGGCGGAGGGAGAGGGGGCTGTTATATGGTGCATGGAAGGTAAAAAAGCTTGTATAGATACTTACTGCTCCTCTTGTTTTTTACTAATTTCTCTTCTATTTTTATTTGTTTTAATATATCCTATTTGCTTTTAAAATTGTATAGCAAAGGATTACTATAGGTACAAAGACAGATACTCCTAATTTTCGGTTAAGCAAGGGTCTAATTAAGACAATTTTTTTTTAAAAAAAAATTGATAAAACTAGAAGGGTAAAATAGTACAAAACAAAAGATTGAACGACCCACGCATAAGCTTTTAGTATGTATGGAATAATATGGTTAATTGGTTACGGTTATAATTGTGTGTTGGGGGTCGGGTTGTTGGTGGTGTTTGGCTAATTGAGAAAAAAAAAGGAAGGGAGAGAGGGAGTGTATAAAAGGAAGTGGATGGGACGTATGAAAGGAAAGAATAGCTTAGCTATTTGCCATTTCGGATAAAAACATTAAACAAAGTTGCCAAACTTTTTCATTTTTCTTCATATTCATATCTGGCGCGTGCTTCACGTGAGATTAGGAAACGACTAATCCCACCTTCGCACCCCAGATGTAACAAATTATTCATACTTATATCATGGTTTTATTATTGATGGGTTGAGACCAACTCTTGTTGAAAGTTGAGAGGCGATGGGTCTGAGAATGTGTTGTGGATGAGGTTTTTGGGGAGAAAATTATTGAGAGCAGTATGTGAATAGACAAGGAGGGCGAGAGGTGGGAAATTTTAGTGTGAACTGTGTTACTGTGTGAGCGTGATTCTGACTCAGTAAGGAAGCGGTCCCTGCCCCGGGTTTAAAAAACTACTCACCTGGTTGACACTTGGCATGCGTGTTTTGCGTGAGGACGACGCCTCATGAATCGCGCGTGTCTTCTCTTTTTCTGTCATTACGGATAACAGTAATCTTAACAGTCAAAACAATACCCTCCGAAAAGATAGCAGTCCCACTTATTTTGCTAGATTTTTATGTCTTTTCTTGTGTCCATATAATAACTGTATCCAAATATCGGCTCCGCAAAAACAAAGAGAGATTGGCGATGGATTGAAACCTCCAGCAAAATGGTCCACTATTTTACTTTACACTACATGTAAATAATAAAAAATTATTATTATCTGTTTTTTTATGGGAGGAAAAGACAACTAAGTTACTTAAATAAAAAAGGAAAATGGGTTTCTTTTTCTTTGGCTAAAGTAAAAAAATACTAAGAAGTGAGTGGGAGTCAGCTGAACATAGGATCCATTATAAAATTTGCAATTTGCATGTGGTGTCTTAGGTTTGAGAGGGCTACATCCGTACACGTCGTTAACTGCCTAAAATACTAGTTGTCATTAAATTTGTGGGCCAACCACTTAAGGCGTGAGGCCCACTCCTCTGACCTCTCATTGGTTGTCGCTTCCTTGTTTATTTTTTCTCTTCATGCTCCTTGGTAGCGGCCTAGCAGGTAGCTAACAAACAACAAATGTTTAAAATAAATGAATAATGATCAAAGAAAAGCAGCAAAAATACTATTGGTCAATCATTGCTACTTGTCCCAACATTTTATTTGTTGAAAAACCAACTAAATTATGCTTAATGCGGCATATGTTAGTAAAACAAATGTGCCTCAAGTCAAAATCACTAAACACTAAAACGACCCCCCAACAATATAAACACACACACATAATAGATTCTCTTGCGCGTGCTCTGTACTATTAAAGGTCGTGATTCAATTTTTGTTCGTATACAATGAGATTAATGTCTGATTTATTTTTATATTTTAAAATAGGTTAATTATGTTTCTGCATTTTTAATATGTCCAAACCATAAATAATAATAATAATAATAATAAATCACGTGACTTGCACATGTTTAGTTTTTTTATTTTTCCTTTAAAATATCCATAAAAAAAATATGTTACTTGCACGTGTTTAGTTGAGAAGTATTTTCAAAAAATAAAAATTAATCATGTGTAAATCATGTTATTCTTTTAATGCTTTGACAAGAAAATTTTTTAAAAAAAAAATTAAAAACTCACTTAAAATATAAAGCTATAATTTATTTGTTTTAAGATATAATGACAAATTTGAAAATTTTGTATAAAGTCAGAGCGCTCTTCACAAATTACAAATACTAATTTGTTAAGAATTAATCGGATTGAAGCAATTTCTAAATTCTAAAATAAATTTCTAAGAGTATATTCGAATAGAGTAATTTATTCTAAGTACGATGCTCTATAAGTGTTATTGGTGATGTTAGGGATAAGCACCAAAATGAAAACTTCTACAAATACGAGTACCTGTGATTTACTATTTAATGTCCCTTTCCGTAATTAAATGGCAATTAAATTAAACTCGGTTCAATCTTTTATTATTAAAAGGATTGAGCCGAATACAAATATCATATTCTATGGAAGGATTTTTACTGCATAACTTAAGTTATATTTGAATTCTTGATTATATTTCATAAAGGAGCCGAATGAAACCAAAATCACTAACTTCCTTGCATAAAAGACAAAGGAGTCATTTTCTCGTATTATTACCCAAACATAAGTAGTCCTCCCTCTTATTATTACTTGATTGATATTATTATTATAATTACTTTGATGCATAAAAATTAATTTTGAGAAAAAAAATCTTGTGTGAATTAGACTGCAACTGTATGAAAATAAATGCTGCTGAAAAATATGAAGTTAAGATAGAACAAAATCTACACAATATTTAAAAGCAAATATATCTAGAATTTAATTGCTAGAGTGCCAAATGTAATTGTACGAACATAATAAATTAAAGTGAAAGTTTGATTGTTTAAAAAAAAAACAAAGATGGAAAATTAAAATTTCAAACTATGTATCTCGTGCCTTTCCATCATGTTGAAAATTGAAATTGTTTACCGACATATGAAAATAACAAATGATTTTCTTTTTTCAGAGATTGGGAAAAATGAGATTTTTCAAAAAAAAAAATAAAAAGAGTCAAATACACTTCATGCTTCAATACTATATTAAACATATTGTTACAAATTCTCTATCCAGGTTTATAACAACTCATATACTATTAAACGTTGATACAAAACAATCATTTTATTAGCATTTTTTGTCAAATTGACCAACATTTATTAGTTGATTAACATTTAACAAATAAAGTACTAACACACATCAATTTAAAGATAAAAATGTAATTTTCTTTTAAAATTAATTTTTTTAAAAGCTAAAATAATTAATAATTATTAAAAATTGGAAAGCAAAAAATCTAAACAATTTCTTAAAATAATCAAAGAAAATTTCACTTTCTATTAAATTTATAATAATTATTATTAAAGAAAATTTTAAAAAATGTAAAGAAATTATTTTCAATTTTTAATTATTTTATATTAATTATTAATAAATATTTTTTCAATTTTTAATAAATAAAATTTAAAAAATTATAAAGAAAATTTCAAAGATTTTATAATTATTATTAATTTTTTTGAAAAAAAAATTCTTTATATTTTTAAACTAATTTTATAATGATTATTAATTATTTCAAGAAAAAAATTGACTATTAATTGTTTAAAAATTTTACTTTTGATTTTTTAAAATTTTTATTTATTAGTAATTATTATAAAATCATTAAAAAATTCTTTATATTTTTTTAAAAAAATCTTTATTAATAATCATTAAAATTTGAAAAAAATCTCTATATTTTCTAAAAATGATTATTATAAATTCATTAGAAATTAATTTTTTAATAATTTTTTAATAATTATTAATTATTTTAACTTTAAAAAAAATTAAAAAATTTGATTTTAAAAAAATTACTTTTTTATCCTTAAGTTGACACATGTCGTCACTTGATTGGTTAGGTATTGATCAACTAACAAAAATTAGTCAAATTGATAGAAAATCTTAACAAAAAGGCTATTTTGCACCAATGTCTAATAGTATAAAATTTGTTATGAACTATATTTGAATCGAGTTACAACGATATTTTTTATATAGTAGGCTATAAATGGATCAAATCTTAATCCGAATTCGATGTAATAAAATAGATCCGGTGAGCAATTTTTTTTTATCTAAGTCCGATTATGATCCGAATTTGTTAACATGTTTATTAAACGAATCAAATGCGAATCTATCTTGATCCGATCCGATAATAATCGGACCCAAAATTAAAAATCATATTTTAAAAATATTAAAAATTTAAATATAAAAGATATATAAATATGAAACTAAGTTGAAATTTAGAGTTTGTTTATTATAATGTTGAAATAATGCATATCTTTCCATAATAACTTTTTTTTAAAAGCACATGTAAATTTCTTATCATTTTCTTAATTCAATTTTGTAAAAAAGAAATTATAAATTGACTTATATAATTTTTTAAGAGTTGGTATTATTAATTATATTTGTCATCACTCTATTTTTAATTAAAAAATTTGACAAAAGACAAAAAAAGAGTAAGAAAAGGAGAAAAAAGACTACATTAAAAAAACAAATTGATTAGAATCAAGGCAAAATTGAAGGGAATAAAAAAGAAGGATTGATGAAAACAGAAAATCAAAGCAATTTGGAGAAGATTTATGCAATTAGAATTCTTTTCCTAAATAAATTTGAAAAAAGAAAATTTTTTTGATTTGAACATACTTCAGCATTTAGGGTATAAATGAGTTTTCCAAATAATACCAGCTATTGATGGTATGGATCTCTTTGATGGGTTATGCAAAAGATCCACCATTATGTGGCTAGGCTTTTTTTGGGAAACTCATTTCGGACAACTATTTTCAGACAAATAACATCATTCCTAAACATTTATTGTGACATTGGACTTCCTAGATACTTATATATACATGTCAAATGACCCATGATATACTGGGTTTTTTTTGTTTATTGTCACCCCCGTTGAGGTGTATAAATCTATAACATAAGTACCTAGTATAATGGGTATGATTACCCTTATCGGAATCACCCATAAGAGGTCTGTAGTTTTGGAGGTGAGATACAAGTCAAAATAACATGCTTTTTTTTTCTAGCTCCAAAAAGCAAATAGGAGGTTGTTGAATATTTAATAAGTGGTTGATATTTAATCCTTCTAGAATTGCTTGCTGTTCTAAGGTTCTTTTGAGAACGGCCATTCAATTTTGGCCTTTGAAAAGGTCCAAAGCCCACCTTTCATGGCATAGTTCTGTTACATGCCAAATGCTTATGTACGTGCTATTAAATTGATGATAACGTTGTGATTGATTTTACGATGTCCATTAATAATTCAAATAGTAATTAAGAACATAAGGTTTAATGTCTTGCATTCATTGTACTTATAATATGAGGCATTTATAATGTGAGGCATTACCGGTAATGCTTTTGACCTATTTAGGTCATAGGTTGAGGATGTTACACTTCTAAACCTTTTTTAAATAATTTGTTATTATGTAGTATAAAATCGTCAATGGCTTCCAAACTCATTTTTTAAATGATTCATCATTATGTGATCCGAAATCGATGGTGGCTTTCCACTTATGTATCAAAACCGCATACGACTTTCAAATTAATTTTTTTCCTTCCTACCTACCCGAAATAAAACTATCGGTGGCTTCCCGCCTATGTAGATGAAGTCGTCGGTGGCTTCCAAATCAATTTACTTGCTTTCTATTTATTTAAAATGAAGTCATCAATGGCTTTTGAAGTTATTTTACTTGCTTTTTGCTTTTTTAAAGCGAAGTCATCAATGGCTTCTCGGCTATGTGATAAAGTCTAATGGCTATCAATGGCTTCCAAATCAATTTACTTGCTTTATGCTTATTTAAAATAAAGTCGTCAATGACTTTCAAAGTTATTTTACTTGCTTTCTCCTTTTCCGAAGCGAAGTCATCAATGGCTTCTCACTTATATGATGAAGTCTAGTGGATTCTAAATCGGTTATCTACTCTTTGCTAAAACAAAATGAAGTTGTCCGTAACTTCCTACTTACGTGATGAAGTTGTCGATAGTTTTCTAAATTCATGATTTGAATTCATCAATGGCTTACCACTCGTGTGAATAAAGTTGTATATGACTTTCTATTCATGTCAATAAAAGCTATCGATTTTTAGAAATTCACTTATTTATCGATATAGGTTGTATTTACTAAAGATTAGCAAAATAGGAATCTCCCTCACCCGAGTCTAGGTATCAACCTCGGACCGATCTAAATCTTGAATTACTCTGCTATTTAATTTTAATAAAATAAATTCATTCAAATAGACATAGAAATATAATATAGTAAAATCAAATTTTTATTTTCATATGCAAACAATGTAGTCTACCTCAAGTAAGACGGGATGACGAGTGATGCTATATCTTTCTCATACGTAATCGATCATTTTACCTAGATATCTATACGGACTAGATGTTTAGGATTTTTTAGTTCTTTCGATTATTTAGGTGCCGACTC